AATTGGCCCTGTGGACACCTCTGATACCGACCATGTCTCAAAATAATTAAGCTGGGAAATGGCCCATCACTCAAAAGATCCTAGCTACGCCACTGCCTGGTTCAATTTCTGATTCATCACTTACATGTTTCTTCTGCCCGATCTTTCTATAAAAGAAAAGCACATAAAAAATCTCTGGAATAGTATTCAACGAATTAAACCTACAAGTAAAATTGGCAATCCTTGAGTTTGTACTGCTATGAGTAACCCAATCAATATTATTTTGCCTATAAATAATAAGTTCACTTTCAAATTTATGAAAAACTATTTGACGTGATACTATTTGGATATGACCTAAAATCGCTGTGAATCTTGACTAGAGTTCTTTCAACAATGAAAGTATTTTCATTAAAAACCATCATTTTTTTTGTAAACTTTTTCGTCGGACAGTTTTTATACACAACAAAACTGTTCGATATCCTGGTACTAATTGAACTGTGAGCAACTCATCAATAGCTGAACAAAGTAATTCAATTGCATTGCATTCAAACTCTATAACTAATTTTAATCGTCACCTACTTTATTATAAATCACACCCACACCCTCAACATTATAAACAAAAGACTGTTCGTTCAATCAATAGAACCTAATTAATTATTTTCGCTATTAACACAGATATCATTTAATGTTTAATTAATTATAAAAAAAAACACATCTAAAAGCCATGTGATTGAAATGGAACAAAAACAAATGGCAAATTACTGATCGGTACAGCATTAGATCTACACATGTCTAACAAAAACTTCTGCATTTTATTATGATAAACACAAACAGATCGATAGTCTAATTATCATACGATAAGTGTCTTGCCCTAATTTCATTTGAAATAGCATAGTATTTATTTAAAAGTACTGTCCTTGAAACTTGATTTCACCTATTGTGTATCAACTATCATTTGAAAATAAACAAACTTATGGCTGTAAATATCATGTTGTTTTCATCGCAAGTAAAGGTGCAAACAACGAATTACTCATTCTATCCAGTCATTACTCTTGCTTTTGACATTTGCTATAAAGTAGGATTTATTTAATTCAACATAACAATCTTAGCCGTCGAGTGAACTTTTGCTGATTGATAACGAGCGATATTTTTAACATATCACGCAATAATTAAGTCAAATCTGCTTTGTTCGATGATAGAATTTCATATGACGGTACAATAATGACAATGTAATTTACTCGTAAAATTTCAATAGCGTTTATTAATTTTCATCCGAAGAAATTCTACATCAATAAAATGAATATAATTTTCAAAACATCTGATCATTGTGAAACAGAAATAGAATAATATTGCCAATGGTTTTAGCTCTCCTATGTTCTGTTAGTAATAAAACCATCATATGATTACTTCATTTTTGGATATGCCCGTTTTTACTTAACTCATTCATAGAAAGAAGAACTATAAGAATCAAGTTCAATCAAAAATTTTGCCATATAGCTACCATAAAAATGAATTGAAGAATAATTTCCTTGAGCAGGTACGATGCTGATGAAAAAAGTCCATACTAGAGAGTTTTAGAAACTTGTCAATAGCATTTTGCTTCCGTCTTGGAAAGATTCTCACTATCGTCATAAGGTTAAATTTTTTGTTGAATAATTTTCGAAAGATTTCTGATCAGAATTCATCGAATATCTCAAATTCTGAGTTCAATGTCATCTATTATATTCTTCATAGATGTCATAGAAAGACTTCACTCAAGAAAAGATCGATTACAATGTTAACTTTGACTGTATTTCTAAGCGACCATCATAATTCTTATATTTCAACCGATAGAAAAATTCAAATAAGTGAATGAATTTCGTCGAAATGTAAAATAAATCCTTTACGCATTATTCACTATAGATATAATCGCCAGTCAAAACGAGACATTCATTCAAAATTCTCTTGATAAATATTTTCAATCAAATCAGATTTTCAAATATCTGATCTACTTTTATAAACTCATACTCAATAATATTAAACAATAATAGATATCCCCTCTCCCTCCGTATGTATATAATCGGTAATAAAGATCATGAAATGTTGATAGGAATTTCACATATAGATCTCTCGTCTCATACAAATATTAGCCTACAACGACACCGACTAAATAAATATCAATTCAATTAGGATTTTGTTAAAGTAGCATGCAAACATGAAATTAAAAGTCAAGTAGATCACCATGCAAAATAATTATTTATTAGAAAAGATACATCCTCGATGATTTAATATAAATATTTAATTGCAGTGAAATTATTGTATAATCGGTATTATGTACACCTGTGTGCCGATCGATTTATTAAAGAATTTCTTTTTTTTGTACGATTGCCAAAGGAATTACGTGTCATATGGATGAGAATTAACTGTGTTCTCAAGAGATTATAATATATGCCTCGTAAACGGAATAAATTTTTCTTCTTATGATAATGTCAGTCTTTTCGCACATTAACATTCATAGATTAAGAATTTTTTCTTTTTGTACAAATAAATGCATGTTTAAATCAACTTAAGTTGACCTATTCATATGGCTACTAATGATAATGTAAAAGTCTCTTTCTCTTGTCTAAATTCTGAGCTAAACATCGGTTTAACGATCACTATTTTAAATAAACAGTTATTTTCATCAAGATAAGAAACAATTTGAGTTGATGGTAAAAAAATTTCTTTTTTCGTCTTCTTCTTTATATATGAACAACACCTGATGACCTCTTGATTAATAGTCTTCGATAGATTGAGTAGCTATGCAGTATGTGGCCTTTTTATTTCTAAAAGTATTATTAATGCAAATACACGTACCTGAATAAAAAATGAACTATGCACACAGCATAGTTTTGATAAATATTTAATTATCATAATGGTCACATTCTGAAATACAATTTTTACTAGTTTAGCTCCTGTAAAATAAATTCCGCAATTCTTTTTTGTTTCGCCATCATTATTCTTCAATGTCGTTAATAATAAAAAATTCAGTTCTTATTTTTTTTTATCATCATGATTTTTGTTTTTTTATTGTGAATAATAACCTGATGACTAATCTCTACACAATAGCTATATTTGGTATCGTTTAGCCGTGATCAGTCATGTTTCTTCCTATCCGACATCATTAAAACGCTGCTTCACACTCGTTCTCTCTTCTCTCTCTCCCTCGTTCGTTCCCTTTCTGTTTGCATGCACATACGTTCTACCTTCACTTGCGTTCTTCTTCAATCTCCATCACTCTTTACCGATTGGTTCAAATGATCGTTTCTCATGTCCATATATGGTAATATAAATAAAATTTCAAGCTGACGAAAAATAAGAGAGACACAGGGAGAGAGAGAGAAGAAACATTTAGTCGTCCATATATTCTATATATAAATCGAAACAAAGCAGTAGACTATCACCATTTCAGTTCAACATTACCTTCAACTACATCGATATTATTCTTTCGTTTTTAACAACTAGCAAATATGTGTGACGACGACGTAGCAGCACTTGTTATCGACAATGGCAGTGGTATGTGCAAAGCTGGTTTTGCAGGCGATGATGCACCTCGTGCAGTATTTCCATCGATTGTTGGTCGACCACGTCATCAAGGTGTTATGGTTGGTATGGGCCAAAAAGATTCCTATGTTGGCGACGAAGCTCAATCTAAACGTGGCATTCTTACATTGAAATATCCAATTGAACACGGTATTGTTACCAATTGGGATGATATGGAAAAGATTTGGCATCATACATTCTACAATGAACTTCGTGTTGCACCTGAAGAACATCCAGTTCTTCTTACTGAAGCACCATTGAATCCAAAAGCTAATCGTGAAAAAATGACACAAATTATGTTCGAAACATTCAATACACCAGGTATGAAGAAAACTCAAAAATAAAAATAGAATTCAAACAAATCATTTATTTTCGTTTTTCGTTTTCAGCAATGTATGTTGCTATTCAAGCTGTACTTTCCTTGTATGCAAGTGGTCGAACAACTGGTATTGTACTTGATTCAGGTGATGGTGTTACACATACAGTACCAATCTATGAAGGTTATGCATTACCACATGCTATACTCCGTCTTGACTTAGCTGGACGAGATCTAACTGATTATTTAATGAAAATCTTAACTGAACGTGGTTATTCATTTGTAACAACAGCCGAACGTGAAATCGTTCGTGATATTAAAGAAAAATTATGTTATGTTGCATTAGATTTCGAACAAGAAATGGCTACAGCTGCATCATCTTCATCATTGGAAAAAAGTTATGAATTACCTGATGGACAAGTTATTACTATTGGTAATGAACGTTTTCGTTGTCCTGAAGCTTTATTTCAACCAAGCTTTCTCGGAATGGAAACAGCTGGTAAGAAACATATTTCATCGTCGAGAGACTAAAACTAAAATAGAATCTCTGTATCTATTTTTAGGTATTCATGAAACAACATATAATTCAATTATGAAATGCGATATCGATATTCGTAAAGATTTATATGCTAATACAGTTCTTTCTGGTGGTTCAACAATGTATCCAGGCATTGCTGATCGTATGCAAAAAGAAATAACATCATTAGCACCATCAACAATGAAGATTAAGATCATCGCACCACCTGAACGTAAATACTCTGTATGGATTGGTGGTTCAATCTTAGCTTCATTATCAACCTTTCAACAAATGTGGATTTCAAAACAAGAATACGATGAATCAGGTCCATCAATTGTTCATCGAAAATGCTTTTAAAAATTTTTTTTATAAGAAAAAAAAAGAAAACAATTTTTTGACCCAACTTATTCTTATTCTTTTCGCTTACGATTGTGCGCGCGTGTGTATGTTATGTATGTCTCGCGTTATTCTTTAACATCACAATTTTTTTCTCTTTAAAAAATATATAATATATATTACAATAAGATCATGTTTTTTTTTGTGTTGCAACGAGATATGTTTGTAGAAAAAAAGATAAGATTACATAAAATAATTGTTAGTTCCATGAAAGTCCAACGAACGAAACCATTATGAAGAACGATGTCTTCCAGTAAATGATTGCATTAGTTCAATCTAAAAAGAGTATATAAATGAAGAATGAAGAATGAAAAGTGAAAAGTTATTTTTCCCGAATAAAAGCAAAACTATTTAAAACAATGAAACAGTCGAGCACTTATAATAGATGTTTGTTTTAACATTATAAGCATTATATGACAAAAGGAAAGCTATAGTATATAAACCTGCTCTCTCAAATAGTCATTATAATTGAGTTTCTAAATAAGAAGGAATGTCAAGTTCGATCATCATCTTCATTACCGGGATTGGAAATACAATGGTTGAATTTTTCTCTGATGCAATCGTTGTTAATGTTTGAAGGTATCGTAGTTGAAGAGCTGTTGGTGATTGCATGATCACATCAGCAGCGTCTTTCAATGCTCTAATATATACAAAAGAAAACAAAATTTATCAATCAAGTATCATCAAATGAAATCGTCTTCACCTCGATGCTTTTTGTTCACCCTCGGCAGCAATTACTTTAGCACGAGCCTCTCGTGCTGCTTCAGCTTCGGCTGCCATAGCTCTAGAAACGAGAAAAAAAAGAGAGAGAGAAAAGAACACTCATGAATAAAAATGGATAATTCCATAATAGTTCACCTTTGAAGTTGGACTGGTAGTCGGACATCTTTTCTGAAAATCAATATAAAGCATAATTCAATAGTAAATTTAAATAATTAACTTACACTTCAACACGTTCTACTCGAACTCCCCAACATTCGGTACCTTCATCGAGAGCAGCCTTAAATTAAAAAAAACGAACTTATTTTCAGTTTCTAAAACAAAAAATTCGTTTTTATTATATACCTGCATGGTTTGTGCAATTGATTCTCGATCCGAAAGAATTTCCTGTAAAGATTTCGTACCAAGACTAATAGAAAACGAAAGCAAATTGATTATTTTAAAACTTCAACCATTCATAAACTTACACATTACGTAAACTAGTAGCCGCGAGTAACTGTGTACTTTTGGGTGCATCTTCAACATTTGTAATAGAAATAACTGGATCGAATACTCGAAAATACACGACAGCATCAACAGCTACTGTCACTGAATCTTTCGTTAAAATCTATGTAAATAATAAAAATAATCTAAAGTGACTAATACTTCTAAGCAAACTTCTTGCGGTGGCACATCAAATGTCACTGTTCTTAAATCAACTTTGGTATATGCGTCAACACATGGGACTATAATAAACAGACCAGGTCCCTATATCATTTTAAGAAAATATATGAACAAAAAGAAAATATACATTAAAATAAAGTAAATATATACCTTGGCACCACCGAGAATACGACCCAGTCGAAACATAACAGCTCTTTCATATTCTTGCACAACCTATAAACACATGTTTAGTCTGATTTATCAAAAAAACAAAAGCGATGAAGAAGATTTACTTTGAGACAAACAGTAAGTGAAAATGGAAAAGTTAACAATATTATTACATAGGATAAAACAAGTAATATATATCCACAGAGACCAATATCATAATCTTGATGAGCACCTAAATACAAAGAGAAAAAAAAGAATAAAGATTTTAATAAATCACAATCAGTTTGAAAGAAAAGAAACTCATGTTTATTCTATAGTAAGTAAAGAAAGAAAATATTATTACGGTGATTTATTCTTGATGCGGATAGTCGAGGATTATGTGTAGTCAGTAGAGAATGTACACTTAATTCCTGAATTTCACGACTTCTATTTTCTTCTCGTATTGCCATTTTACCGAGGTTTTGTTATAGGACTAATAATATGTTACTAGAAATGATACGAGAAAAAAGAATGAGAATCAATGTTTCTAACTATCGTATGATTGATCATGTTCTGTTTTCTCTAAGACTATCTTTTTTTTTCTATCTCTCTCCAAGTCAATAAGGTGTTTGTTTACTTAACTGTCGGAGTTGATTTGAAAGATTCATGATGTTACTATCTGTCGTTTCCCTATAGCTAGATTATTACTTTTTTTTTGTCTATGAAAGAAAATTAGTTTACGCAAGAAATGACAGTTAGATTTGTCAAAGAAAAGATAACGTTTAGATTTTGATGGATTCCACATGATGATATTTCATTCTTACTTGTTGGTCTCATACTTCTTGTTTCTAACGATGATGCGTTCATAGAAACGAGCGAACGAACGAATGACGTGACAAATACACTCTCCAACCGCGCTCTTGCTTTGCAATTCACGGTAAATGTATTTCCGTTGTCTTCTTTTTTCCCCTCTTCTTCTTTCCTCTGCTCGAGTTTTTTTAGTTCTTAGAATCATTAAGAATCGTCTTCTCCCTATCTCTCCTTCTCCTCTTTCTCCCGAGAGTCAGCATACTGCTAGGTTTTTATTGTCCTATCCGTGCGCGCACACACACATGCCTCGCTCCAATTATATAATTGGATGTCCCTTGGTGGTCTATTTATACTCATAAGAAAACTATGAAACGACAGTTCTTCATATCTAGTTGAAATCTGATCCATCTCAATTCGATAACACGTGAAAAATTGATCGATCCATCGTAATTTCTTGCTCTGTAGAGATCATCTTAAAGTTCATTCTTACTGACAGTAATAATTTATTGAAAAGAGATAGCGTCAGAAATATCCCAACTAGCGAATTTTCATATGGCGATGTTCCATCCGGTTTTTTCCTGCTGCGTCCTAATAATTATTCAGAGAGCGACAATGTAACAGCAAATAGAACGGAAAGATTCAATTTGTGAGATGCATACATATTATTTGTTCTATTGATTATCTATGCATTCAAAATGATTAAATAAAAAAAAGAGAAAGTGGTTCTTAGAAAATCAGACAAGAACATAGCTAGAAGGTCGAAATCCAGTAGCGTCTTTTTTTCCCACCTGTCCAACGATAGAAAATATGAGTGATTTTCTGTCGTGAAGATAATCGTCGACGTGGCATTCTGATCGATGAAAAACACAATCTATATATATTTTTATGTTATATACTAGATGAGTATAATAAAAGAATGTCGACTGTTGATCTGTTTATCGATTTGATTTGATCTGTTTCTTCAGTCTATATTTTTTTTCTAGATCTATTTCTCTTTCTTTTTTCTTCTTCTTATGAGAGCAAGTTAATTTGAACACGCTTGAGCAGTCTTTCGAGCGACAGTAACGGAGAAAATTGACTTCTGGATGTTGCCATTATTGTAGACACTATCAGAATTACAATGCTATTTTATATCAAAATAAATAGCTATAGAACATGGCGTTTCGTTGTCTCTGACTAGTCGTGTTAATAACAGTCAAGGCTTAATCTAAATCTATGCGTTAATCGTTTTTTCTTCTTCGTCTCTTGCTGTCGATGAAATCAACATCTGTATTATATCCTGATATACGAATACCTGTATGGCTTCTTTCATGCATGTAATTGCCAGGTCTATAATTGTCAGCTGCCATGGGAAAAATTTGGTCTGATGACGTGGTTAATCGTTGACGTCGTTCATCATCTAATTTCCAGTTAGGCTGTTGTCTGCCACCACTGCGCATGAATGAATTTCGCTAGATCCTTTTAGCTATATTTCGGACATGTAAATTACTTTTAGTCTTTTCCATTTGTGCCCTTCTTTTTTTCTTAGTTGTATACAGATGCTAATACGCACTATTATCAGTAATTATTTATTATATATGCTATGGTATTATGATGATAGCAACGGCAACTAAACTATTATTGTTGTCTTATTATGTAGCAGAAAATCTTTGCAAATAGATAGAGAGAAAAGAAAGAGAGAGAGAGAGAGAATAAGAAGCATATTACATTTAGTAGTGTTGTAAAGCGACTATATTTTCTAGTAGAATTCGAATTAAGCAACAAAGGGTGACGATATTGCCGATCCAACAATAGAGAACATATAGTTGGTCTTTTTCTTCTGGTAGTATTTCCTGCGGCTTTCTTTCTTTCTTTCATCACCCTCTATACATATATACTTGTTTTTGCTCATGCACATTCTATCAAGATAGATAGAATGCACAAGCACATACGTTAATAATTCTATCTGCGTCTTGCTTCTCCCAGACACTTTTGTTTAATATAAGATTGATATTAGTTTATCGGCATAGCCATTTTTTTGGTGACGACGGGAATAGCTAAATCATTCAACGGCGTTGTCATCATCATCATCTTTTTTAGAAAGGAAATTACATAAATATTGCTTGATGTTTTGTATACATATAATGTATGTGTTATTCAAAAAACCAAAAAAGAAAACATATAGGGTGAATCCATCAATGCTATGTAATATGCGACCATTGTATATAATGGGTAAAGCGGACACCATGTAGGATGACATTAAAGAGAGCTTCGTTCGAAAAGATTTGCAGCTGGCTCACTGGTGTTCTTTTTTATTTGACATACCAAGATCAACAATTGTTGTTGTAATTTGTGATATGTGTACAATCATATTGACAGAAATGGAAATGAGTTATATCCTCATTAACAGACAACATGATGTATCTAATAGCGAACGGGCATATATCTGTTTATAATCGATCACGCCTGATGCCGATGGTTAAAATACACAATAGTCCGATAGATTTTTATTTCATAGTCTAGAGATGCTTTTTGAGAATGACTACTTTTTTTTGCCAAATCAAACATGAATAAAGAAAAGTTTAGATTTGTTTATGCTCATCAGCTTTGTGATTGAATTCATAATCGATGTGAACAAAAGCACGTTCAATCTCGGATAATGATTCAAGTTTTCTTTGTAAATTGGCACCGATATCATGTGCTTGTTGAATTCGCATATCACCTGGCAAGCCAATATCGACTAAATATTATATAGGAGTAGTTAGAACATTATTTTCAATCGGAAATAGAATTTTACCTTCAACATGAAGATCAGTACCGAAATGGAATGCTTTCACCGTATCGATTTTAGTAAGATGTGGTGAAAAATTAATTACAATCCATGTTATTAAGTTAAGGAAATCTGGATCAGCAGTAACACCGGTTAAATTACGAATATGTACTAGATAGAGTAAAAGATTGGCAAATTCTAATGAATATTCTAATAGTTTACCAGCAGCTTGAAGAACCCATGAAATGATAATATAAATAGAAATGACAATAGCTCCGACTAGATAAAAGTTTGTAGAAGAAAATTTTGAAATTGAGCATTTTTCATTCTTACTTGGATCTATTACAATAAAACGTATATCGATTTGTCGTAAGGCCGCTTGACCAGCTTTTGAACAACAAAATCTAAGAATTTTCTCATTCAAATTCTACAATATGACTTACCCAAAAGGCCAGAAATAAGTGCTACAATATTTGATAATACATCATTACGATGATCTTGTGCCAAGGCTTTAATTGTGTCGACAGGCACATGCCGACAGGAAAAATACAAGATGATTTTCAGTACTAAGTAGGAAATTTGAAAGATCTATTTTCATATTAATAAATGTGTGCTACTGAATACTTATGTATGGAATGCTTCCGGGTGTTTGATTAGTTGATGTATTAGAAAATTGTCAATCCTCAGACTCCTTATTCTCATTGACATCTGTCAAGTATATTGAACACGACATCTTGGTAGAACTGCAAAAGTCTATTAGGAACATGTTTTCAATGACTCGAAAATCGGTTGGAGCTTTAGAATTGTTTTTCTTGAACATGTACTTTTAGTTGAATATAGTTCATTGATGTAATCTTACCGATAGTCAAACACATAACAATGATCGGAATGGGTTGTTTAATATTCATAGTAACTTCAGGCATTTCATTCGAATGATTTGTCATATATCGAATATAAACAAGCAAACGTTTGGCAGCTTCCGAGATTACTTGTATTGATGCTGAAGACATTAGAACGGAAAGTATTAAAATAGCAATAGGCTCAATCCGAGTTCGTCCAGCCGGATATCGATACTGATTTCGATGTCTTATAGCACGTGCTGTCCAAAATAGAATTACACTTGAAACAATATCAACTGCTGAATCGATTGCACTTGAAATAATTGATAAGGAATTCGATAGAATTGAAGCCAAAATTTTAATAAGAAATAAAGACTAAAATCAAGCAGAGTAAATTTTTGGTTAGTTAATTAGTTTAGTAAATTAATTACGATATTAATAGCCAATGAAAGAACGGTAAGAATTTGCACATGTTTTTTAAGTTTAATAGTTGTTTGATCGATACCTTGCTCGTTATTGTTAAGAACATCGACATATTTGTCAATAATAGCATTTTGACGTTGATAAAAAGATCTTGTCAAACTCGAAATAAATAATAGAAATTTAGAAAATGATTTTACTTCACTCGTTTTGATCGTATCTTTTTGTTGGATAAATCGTATCGTAACGAAAGGAAGTGTTCTATTGAACCGTAAATTGAAGTTTTATTCGATGAGTCATCATCTAAACATTTATACACATAAACACTTTGTCGTCGAGTCAATTCAACCGTCGCTCACTTAAGTCGGTTGAATTAGTCGGTAAGATTGTCATTGCAATGAACGAAGTCATATTATTGATATTAAATGAACCATAACGAAGAGCGACGAATGACTGTTCATCCACGTTCAGGCTATTGTTATTTTACGACAACAGTATCAAACGAAATTCTATGAGTCATCGTTATTTATTCGATGATTCACCTTAGATTTCGAATCGACTGAAGCTTAGACATTGTTCATTTCAGTTAGAACTTTTTAAAGAAAAAAAAGTATAAATAGACTTAATTAAGAGTTGAATATCAGCAAATAGCAAAATAATTTATAGTACACAAATGAAGATAAGATGTATTCTTTTATTCCAATTAAATTGATAAGAAGAAAAAATCATCAAGCTGAGTATTGCCAAACACAGCGTTTTCATTGGCTTGGATTGTAATTTCGATGTGAACACAATGTCGACTTGTCTGATTGTGACTAAATTTGCATAATGACAAAAGGAAATCAATAGTCGTCGACGTTTCAAAAATCCAATTAGATAAATTCAAAATAGACATGTCTTGTTAACAGTACGATATCGCTAAAATAAGATAGCGAAAATTTCGAATCAATAATTTTGAATCGGGTGACTATTACTATGGTCTTTTAGAACTATTTCAAGAAAAATTTGTTGTCTTCTTAATCCTATCAGAGTTACATTTAGCATTGCGTCTCATATAGAAAAATGAAATGGCATTAAAAGTCTATTAAATGAGCTAGTTTTTTTCTGCTGTGACTGTAATACAAAGAGGAATTTATCTAAAATTACCGGCACTCTTACACAAGTATTTAAATATCTCCAACGATCAAAATGATAGACCGGAGTTCAAACGTCGACGAGTGTATATTCATAATTATCAAGCGGTTCCAAGAAAATCTTGTTGTAATTGGTCATAACAGGAAAATAATTCCGGTAATTTTACAACTGGTATCATTTTTAATCTAGACACCAAGATTTCTCGCCAACTTGCAACATATATTAAATAAACATAGGAGAGGCCGACAGTGCTCATTAACCAATTCCGGTTTTTGAATAAATATAACTCTATGGAATATTTAGTTCTATTTGTGTATCGAACACGAGTAAAGCTTTTCTGGTTGTGACTGAATAAACGAAATGCCTAAAGGTAAACATTGATTTGCATCAAAGCAAGACAGAACAGCTGTGATCACGATAATAGATCTTCAGTTGTATAACATTCTTTTTCGGGCTATTTCGATTCCTATTATCAGATGTCACATGTCAAGGCCAGTGATAATTAAGCTGCGAGATTAGTCAGATAACACAGAAGTAGTTTTCAATTTTATGGTAAATATTTTCTCTTTGTATTATGCAAATGAAAACATTATTTTATTTGAAAATTTTCATTGGAGAAAATTGAAACAGACAAGTTAAATAAGCAACTGGGCATTGCATATTCTGTATTGACCTCGAAAAATGGCGTTTAGCAGAGAATGCACTGTCTGTTCAGCGGTCTTGACTACGAATACAATAGAAAAGAAAAATGCTCGCCACAAGACTTGAGCTCAAGTCACAAATATTTGTCACACGTCTGACACTTGAGATTAACGCAACACGGAGAAAAACAACAAAAATCGTTGGCGGATTAAGGATCAACATTTACTAGAGATAGATTTTTTTTCGTTATTTTCCACTTTCGACCTTTGTATGTCACAGAATTTAGATTCAAAAAGCATAAATTACGTAGTTTTATATTTATTTTGTTGTAAAACTCAAGTATATTAACAAACAAAAACGAATAAATAAGAAAAATATGACCACCATAAAAGTACAAATATATGCATATCAGTGAGACTCCATATAAAAAACAAACACAAATTTCTCTTATGATGTTATTGGTTGAAATCTTTGCATGTAAAACTGACAATTGGAACAATATGTCCCCAATTGATTTGTTTTTGAAAATCGTTTATAACAAAGAGAACATTCAATTAAGCCAATAGGAATCTCGGCCGATGACGATGGTGCATCAGAATCCGAATCTGATATTGTTGGTTGTTGATGAATTTTTCTTAAAAATGAATGAATTAAATGTTCCGATGGTGGTTCAATAATATCATCTAATGTTGGAACAATTAATGCAACATTATCAGAAAATTTAACATTCTTTTTTGGACGCGACACTCGTTTTGTTGACGAAAGTATTGATGATGTTGTTGCATTGTCATTTTTATTTTCGAGATATTCAACATGTTTGTACATTCCAGTTAAACTAGCATTTAACTCTGCTTGTTCAATTTGTCGTTTTCTTAATGAACGAATTCTTAATAGTAAACCATTTTTTCTTGTTCGAGCATACGTTGATAAACGAGTATTACGATTAAGACTTAAATTAAGTATTTGATCGACAAGGACTAATGCTCGTTGGCAAGATTCTAATGCAGACGAATAATTACTTGCACTTTCGTATTTTAACGATTGTTCAAGATAATTTTCTACTGAAGCTAACGACATATCGAAATGATTATCGTCTAAATTAGAAATAAATCAAATTTATTTTCACTATCGAAATATCTCAATAATGCAAATATAATTCTACAAAAAGAAAAGGTACGCCGTGCTCTTCGCAGAGTTTTAGACTGGCTTCTGACGTCAAAGTCTTGCCAGAAAATATCTGTTGTTTGTTTTTCACCCGTTATTAAAAGATAATTGATGGCGCCGAAAAACAGTTAGTTAGAATGGAACTTCTTTTTGCTATTTCTATTTCTATACATAGAGATATTTTCTTCCATGATGTTTTAGGCTAATTATTGATTTAGCGTCTTGGAACAGCTGCAGCTCAACAAGACGCACTGCAATGAGTGAGAGAGAGAGATCTGTTTTCACTGAAAGACAAGTTTCCGCAGAAAATCAGCATTAACCAAAAATAAATCGAAGACCAGACGGGAATCATTAACGAGCGAAAAAAAATCTGATGGATAACAAATTGTTCGCTATTCTCACCAATCCTTTTTTAATAGGGGGGTTGAAATTGAGTAATTAAATATTTTCTGTACCAACTTTCTCATAACAAAAATGAGACATCACTCCACTATAAAGTAAAACATCGCCTAATCTCAAGTCTACACTCATCATGATAATATTTTATATTTCTCTATCAGAATTAATAACAACGTCGAACATGATAGCTATCTACTTACTCATAATCTGTTCTGTTTGTTTAATTAAACTATCAATTTCTGTTTGTTCATTATGTACAGGACTATCTATTGGACTATCGTCACTTGATCCATCATTAATGCAACTACTTAAACCAGAATCACGTTGTGATGACGATGATGTTGATGAATCTCTACTTGATAATGTATCAGCGACTTTTTGTTTTGCTTGAAATTGATGTCGAATATTCACAGGAGGAGGTGATGACGATGATGATGATGATGATGCTAGTGAAAATGATATTGATGATGTATCGGACAATGCTTCCTTTTTTAATAATTGCTGTTGCATGACTTTAACAACTGTTTCTTGATTGATATATGAAGAAGTTGCTGTCGGCTTCGAAGGCATAAATAACATGGAAGAATTTAATGTTGCAAATGATGATATTTTCGAAAGACTCTCTAAAGAATGCAGATCATTTTGATTCATCGTAAATTGTGCTTGCTTTGGCATGGAAAGTTTTGCTGGTTCGAGTATTTTTTGCGGATGCACAACTATAAGAAAGAAGCACAGTTATCGGTCGATGTTATTTCTAATCATACACAATAAATGACAAGAGAGAAGAAAAGAAATGAATGAACAACAACAGCCATACATATTGCTGTTCATCACAATTCTTTATTCTCTTATTCCTTTTTCTTCTCCTTCTTCTTCAACGTACAGATACCGTAATATAACAAAAGCAATATCCAAACGAGATCAATAGTAGTGATTGTGTATAGACACACAGAACAAACTGTACTATTAATGATGCAATCACGATTTTTACGACTATTTTTCATTTTCTTTCTAATGAAAAATTCTCCGTTATGATTATTATTATGATTACTTTTTTCTTGAATTATAGTGCGCTTGAGTAATTGACTTATATCAACAGGATTTTGTTGTGAATTCGCATAGATAAGAAGAAACGGTTGAAGATGAAAATCGATACATTTTCTTATGACAGCATTCCAATTATTTGCTACTGTTACGTTTCCATCGAAACAAAAGAGCCATTTTGACGTTGAATGTTCATAGGAAAAGAATACTTCAATAGTATTACCATAAAAACAAATGAGACCAATGAGACAAAGTTGTTTAATACGAGCGTCACTTATAGTAACATCGTAGAATAACTATAACGAGAGAATATTGAAAATTGACTCTATCGAATTCTTCCTATATTTTACTTCGCGTAAATTAACAAATGGTTCAATAATCGAAACAAAATCTTCCACGTCACTTGTAGTACATTCAGATGAATTCCAATGGAACACCACAGAAACTGTCAACATAAAGAAAGAAGAAAACATCATTTTTGTCTTCTTATCATTATTATTATTATTATTATTATCAAATTAGATAGACATTACTTAAATCGGGTGCATTGATTAATAATAAATCATCATTTTGATGATTACATGTCGTTTCTATTCGATCAATAGAAGCCTGATAAAGTAGTTGGCCAAATGATTTATACAAGCATTTATTTTCATTTCGTTTTATTAGTTGGCTAATCGAAAGACAAACTTTTTTTCAATTATCTTAAGCTTAACATTTTCTTACCATATCGTCGTTGCATCTACCTGATAAACTCGTCGCGTAAATGCCGTTCTATTACTATCATCAATGCTTTCCTTTTGTTGAGAAAGGCAATTGACATTGCCACATCGATGCTAAATATAAACATACAAAATTAATCGACCTATATGAACACAATGAAAAAGAATACAAACCATTCGTATGAGATTCATCTGGTCAGCATCGTTATCATAGAAACAAAGAATAAATCTGGAATAACCTTTATATATATATATGTATTTCGTCTTGTTTTATCAAAACTTGATGGTGACTACTACTAGTACAACTAAATCAACATACATACGGATATCTCATCCATAAGCAAAGGTTAACATCAATTGGCCGTCGGCGTATGATAACGTTTTTCTTTTTCTCTGCCTTCTTACCTTTGAATCAACGAATGTATATTTAATACAGAGAAAGCAAGAATAAAAATTACACGCGAGTCTGTCACTCTCCTGTTCAAATATTGAACATCTAGGATGAGAACAGACATTGCTCAGGTGTACACAAGAAGTTACTCTTTTTCCCTTTCTCATCGGTTGGACTCTATAGGAAATAAAATAGCACAATAGGAAGTTTCCAAACCAAATAATTATCGTAAATAGTTTATAATTATACCTGTTGTGATACAGGCGAATCTAAAACTATCGCCATTCTGTAAGAGGATACTTGTATATGTGTATATACGCATTTTTTTTTGGCATATGTCAAATTAGATGAGTATTTAGCTCGCGAGAAGTTCAATTAACTGACGATAAAGAATGAAAAACAAGAAGAGATATTTATTCAATCATAAAAACCTGTATACACATGTCAAGATTGATATCATTCCAGAATAGGAGTGACGCCAATAACAACAACTGGGAGGCATTATAAAGAAACGTTATGTAATAACAACATATAATCATAATAATACTAATAACAATAATAATCGTTCAAGGTGTATGTAGATCTCTGATTATCCTATCTGGAGTCGCCTGTAAAGTTGTCACTTCATTGCTTGTGTACAAATGTGTAAGAATTAAGACAAAGGGCAAAACGAACCACAAAGGATTTGGTGAGTATGCGAAAGAGAATGAGAGAAAGAAAGAAAGAAAGAAAGGAGTGAGCGTGAAATCCTATATTGAGTGAACAGTTTTGAATTGAATATCCAACCACTTCAATAGAGTACACAAATGCAAGAAGCCTCATTGCAATCGCTCGCAGTCGAATCAATAGAAATTGTCAAGGAACTAACCTAAACTTGCCTATTTAGATCAGATTTCTTTTTTTCTCCACTGCTTATTCTTTCTTTTATAAGAACATATATACAAGAGTGATTTCAAGGTTGTGAGAAAGCATAATGATGTAATATACTCGTTGATCAACAAACAACTATAAATATATAAAAGATGATAGTCCTTGAGTATAGTTCGCTTAATAGAAGTGGGTGGAAAGGTGAAAAATAGAACAATGTACATATTATAAGCACTTTATGGCTTCTATTCATAGGTTTTTAATTGATCATATTGATTTTCTATCGAAACAAAATGTCCTAATGTGACATTGAACATAACTAAAAATTGGACAATAGACCCTGCGCAAGGCTATAGTATGATGATAAAATCATAGGCAGACAACAGTAAATTAAGACCTAAAATAAACGGCAAAGCAAATGTGAAATGTGTTATGGATTATCTATCATAGTAATAGGAAAAATATTTTGAGAAGAGACGTAGGTTGACAACGCTTTAGTTCTTTTTTTTTGCGCTATCGATTTATCTGATAAACAAATAAGTCACAGTTTTGTTATATTGATCGTTTCATGTGAGCGACTTATTTATTTCAAATAGACGAACAAAAAAAAACATTTTTTCACACCAGAGCCTATTGATATGCAATGAATTTCATGATACGAGAAAAAAAACATGCAGAGCGAAATAGATTAAATGATCAATTAAAAACCGTGATCAATCATGACCAATTGAAATAGTTTCGACACGCGATTTGTTCGTGTTTATGTATGGAATGCAATGAATCGTAGAACAGACAAATACAAATTATCGGTTGATTATTTCTGTCTGTAGGAATACAACAAAAATAATTGAACAATTTCTTCCGATAGATATGAATGAAGTCGATGGTACATTTGATCTAATCTGACAGAAGTGAATATTGCGGAAAGAAACGAACGGAAGAAAATTACCTATGTTGTAAGATTTTAGTCATTAACTTCAATGAATTCTCAATTTACACTGAACGCGGCAAGGTCAATCGGGACTTATGGTACTTTAGATAATTTTTTCTTAAATTGAACTAATAATAGGAACATGTATGAGTTCATTGTTCGCATAGTATTCATTATTGGATTATAGAAAGATCGCCTGATATTCTTACTACAATGAGAGCTCGTTTAACTGTGATTGAAAGCATTCAGCTTTAGAAGAAATCTCACAAATCTATCGTCGCGCCAGTCAAATAATCAATATGTTGATCTTCTTTCGCATGAACGCAGATTGGAAATCTAGCTATCAGCATAGTTTGTTGTTCTGAAACAAAAATTCGGTTTATACTAATGATTTTATTGGATAGAAAATCAATTTAGATCGAAAACATATGTTTAGTTGAAGTAAATCAATTTACTTCGCATATTTATTGTTACAGACAAAAAAACAGAGCAAAAATTAGTACATAAACAAATTTTTCATGGAGAAGTGAACGATAATAATGATCATCGTTGATAAGATGTTCGTACCCATTGTTGATTATCGTGTTGTATTCTTACGATTAAATCGCGTAATTCAAGATAAGTACGATCTAAATCATTATTGACTAAAATGTGATCAAATAATAAATAATGATGTCTTTCAATCGATCGACTTTTTCGTATTATTTCTCGATAATCTTTCTCGTTTAAATGTTCTCGACGGTCGAGTTCTAGACGTTTGAGACGTTCGATTGTTGGTGCAGCTATACATATTATATATGGATAAATGCCTGTTCTATTAAATGTTCGTATTGCTTCTGGATTTAAATTTAATATACAAATTTTTTGTTTTATTTCAACTATTTGTCGAATATCGTCCAATGATGTCCCGTATAAATCACGATCATATTGACCAAATTCAACAAATGCTTGACATTCAATTTTGGCTAAGAAATCTGCTTCAGAAACAAAATGATAATCAATATCAGAAGTTTCTTGTGAACGACGAGCGCGTGTTGTATGAGGTATGGCAACATCGAATAGGTTTGGTTCAGTTTGTAAAAGCCGGCGACGTAATTCATGTCGACCAACATTTGGCGCACCTAACAATATTTCAAAAATAAAAAAAACTCTATCGAATCTGTGAGCAAAGTTCAATATTGTTCAAAACGAAAGGTGTCCGAAAATATCACTATCAAACGAGATAAGCGTTGAAGCTTATAGAATTAACCGAAACGCAAACTGATTATGAAGGCTTTCTAGATTATTGAAAATTTTTCTCACCTAATAAAATGATAGGTCGCGTCATTTGTTGCGTCGAAAGATCAAGTCGAAAAACAGAATCATAGAATCGAAATGAATCCATCATTAAATCTTGATTTGTATCTGCAAGTCGTTTTAGCGTTGTCACAGGCTGTTCTTCACCATATTTTCTTGTATCTGTTAAGGAGAAATGATTCGTGGATGTTTTTATAGTTGGTGCTTCTTTATCATCAGCGTCATGAATAAATGTAGCATTATTATAAACTGTTTGTAATGGTTTTCGTTCTCGTTTTGAGCTAACACAAGTGAGACAATGTTTACGTGCTTTCTTTTTACCATGAGATAATGATAGTGACGATGATGATGAAATCGATTCTGTATCGTCAGAAATAACTTTAAGTAGATTAGCACGTTTTTGTTGTAGACTATCCGATGGTATCAGACCAGCTAGACATGGATCGGTGTCTGTCTCGAATGAATTTTCTCGATATGCTTGCCACCAGCTAACATATGAATCGTTTGTTGTTTTCGTTTCATCCCGTGCAACAATACGTAATATGTCACCGCGTTGAAATGCTAGACCAATATCTTTACATGGTATTAAAGGATCATTAAATGGATCATAGGTAAACAATGCTCGAACATGAAACGTATGATATGATATATGATTAGCATTAATTGGTGGTGCAAGAAGAAATTTAATTAAACCAATTGTATTCGATATTAACGTACAGACATAATCAAGTGAATGTCCTGTCATAGGTTCGTCATTGATTTCTAGTATGCGATCGTTTACTTGAAATAGTTGTGTAGTTGCTGCAACACCACCGACGACAATACGCGCTATGTAGATTGTCCCTGAGTCACTACGAGATATTGTTAAGCCTAATGGTTGATGATTTTTTTCGATTGTAACAATTTTCAATTCATCAATTGAATATTGAGATAATTTTAATAGTTCTTCTCTAGATTCCATACTTTCGTGTTCTTGATTCTTGATTGTTGTTTCTTCATGGTCGGGTAATGCTGACGAATAACAGCGAAGTTTAAGAATGCTATCAAATACATTTAGAAAACTTTGCAATTCTGTTCGACGTAATGAAGTTAAACATGCTTTAAGATCATTGAGCATATCGAATAGTGATGGCGAAGAAGGTCTTATTGTACTAGAACGAAATCAGAGAAAAACACAAATCTTTAGTAAACGCATTGAAGAAAAAACGCCTTATGAGTATTTAATCGTATTGTTGAAAATGAAAATTCTATCTGAGAGTAAACTGTTAAATAAAATCATACAGATATATACGTCATATGGACTAGAGATTAGCATTAAACATGTCAATCAGAACATCCTTCAAGTATGATGATCTAACAAAGTGTTAATCGGCAGCTAAGAAAAAAAAGTTTTGAAGGATTTTCCCCCTCATATATTAAAGTAAATGAATTGTATCAAACGGAATATTTTGAAATAAGAATTAATTAGAACTTTTTTCACTTTGCTTTTCTTTCTTATGGGTTAGAAAACGGTGTAAAAACAAAGTCTGCTTCCTTTTATTTACACACACTATGTATTCTGTTATTGATATGTATCACTACAGGCATAATCCATTAGTTATTCTATTTTCTTTCACCCTTGATTAAAAACATAGATGGAGCATTTTTCGTAACACCTGATAATAGTTTTCTAGGTGAACACCTCTAATAATCAGTTCAAAAAAAGCAATCAAAAATCGATTTGATTTATATGTGATTCAAGATAAAGAGGTCAATTCGAACCCATCCTACATCTCCATGGTGTAATTGCCACACCCAAATTTAACTACATCAATGTTATAATTAGCACCTTTTTTTATTCTATAGGTGGCTCAACTGAATGATTGAGAGTCGGCGGGGTCAAGGTGAATTGTTGAATTTTGAAGAAGAAAAAGATAATTTCTTTAACATACTTTGCATCGAATAATGTCTTTTCTGTGTCGGATAATTTTTGTTCAATCAACTGAATAAATTCATGAATCATATCTTTAAAATCTGTTTCACCATTGTGTCTATTGATTAGTATTTCACGGCAAAATTCCATTGTATGATCTTGATTATTCGTTATCAATGGTAATAAATGTCGAGTTTGTTGAGCAATTTCATATAGAAGTCCAAGATTTTCTTTCGCTGAAGTGTTTTCCATTGTTGCTTGATCTAATATTTTATAAATATCATCAATTGATATCGGTAGAATTGGTGATGATGTGCAAGCAGGTGTTGTGGTTGATAAACTACTACTACTACCACTCGTTGATCCCTTACGCATTAAACCATCTGTATGATTATTTTGTACACTACGATTAGACGATAAAGTACAATAAGCTTCATCCGATGTTTGTGCATCGGGGGATAATCGATTTAGACGAATGCTACTACGACGAAGTAAACAGGCTCGTTCGAATTTTGTAGTATCATGTTTGTTCTAGAAATAACAGATAGAAAGAAAAAAAACATTGTTGACATGAAGTAAACGAGAGGGAGAGAGAGAGAGATAACTGTTTAAGAGGTAAAAGAAAACTTTCAATTGACTTATTAACGAATAAGAATGTTGGTCAAACACGAGGAACTTTACTTACGTTTGGTGAAAGACGAAGTAATTCGATACATTCTACTTTAGATGAAGTAGTTTCATGATCAACAGAGTTTTCTTTTGATAGAAGTGTAACATCAAAATCACAGGGTACATCAACTAGAATCAATAAAACTGTAGACATGTATGTGTGTATATGAAGATTTTATTAAATTTACCTGCTCGTTCACCACCAAGCCATTGAATAATTCTTGCTGTTTGATAATTTTCATTGGTTTTATTTGTTATAACAACCATTTCTTTTTGTTTTATCGACTGTACATCGTAGGAAATATTTGTTAGAATTCTATATTAAAGATCAAGGACGAGAGTTAAATGTTTCATATAATGAACACGAAATACATAGATTTATAATCTCATGGCTGAAGTAAAAATGAGTTAAGACATTATCAAACAAACAGAGATTATATTTATTTTTTTGTTGTTGTTGCTATAATCATGTTTTAGTTCAATAAAACAACAGTATTTATTATACTCTAGAGAGATCTATGCATGTTTAAAACAGTAGTCAAGAAAAAAAATGTATAAGCCTGTCTAAGCTTGAAATATTAACTTTCAATAATCAAATTAATCTTGTTTCTTTTAATCCCCTGTGCGCATCGGTCACTATCGTCTAGTTAAAAAATCTATTTCAATTCTTGTCACTTACTTTGCCTGAGAACGAGAGGAGAAAATGTGTCACCTTCTTTTTTTCTCGTTGCCCTTTCTCGTACTTATGAAATGAATAAAAGTGGACACGGTAGAGGTGAGCCATTAGGTACAGGAAGAAAATTGTTCAGCGGTGCGTCCTTTCTGCGTTCTTTTCTTTTTTATGTTTTCCTTACCTTTTGTTTTTCATCGAGGTTCATCTGTACGTACGTGATTGAATAGAGAAATGAAATTTTGTTTTTCTTTTCTTTCAATGTGTGTGTGAGAATGTAATTGCTGTGTGTGTGTGCGTGCAGGCATATCCTGTAGGAATGAAGTAGAACAGAAGAAAAGATGAATAGAGAGACTCTTAAGTATGATATTATAGTTAATGTATTGATACAGAAGCAGTACAAATAATAACATTTTGTGTTAAGAATAAAAAAATTTAATGGTTTTATTTCCGATACTTGAAATCTTTTGTTCGAAGTTCAAATATTGAATTTTTGCATCTCAATTGAAGCCGATTATTAGAAATCCTTATATTTGAATGCGAATGCTAAATGAATAATAACAATTTAAAAAAATAGAAGCGTATGAGTGAAGAAAGTCAGTTTTAGAGCGATGAAGCTTGGATTCATTCTTTCGAAGACATGTTTTCCTTAAGAGGATGATTTCACTTATTTCTTCTACTGTTTTTTTAAAGTTATTGTTGATTGCATCAGAGACGTGTGTGATTCAATCACCGACTGGCATACACCATGATAGTCTTCATGTCTATTTTTTGACTTCAATTCGTTTGCAGCTAAAGCTCAATATGAGAAAAAAAGCATTTAAAATAGAAGCCGTACCAAGATAATCGAACAGCATATAATCAGCTATTTTAATTATGCATTACGACGATACCAGTGGTTAAAAATTTTTTTTCTCTAAATTTTTTTTATCATATTGAGTTGTTTGTGTCTATCATCATTGTTTTACAATCGATTCAAATTATTTTCATTTCATGATCATCGATCTATCTGTATTGAATGATTTTTATCGCGCTCTTTCGATGAACAATGAACATTTTAACATGACATGTGACAACTGAACGTTTAAATTTCCTATTTATGTGCTATACGAAAGACGATGTTTTGTAATATTAAAATGTTTGTACTCGGAAATCTTGTATCTGTATTTTTCCTTATTAAACATTAATTCAACGGCAGGTTTAACACAAGAGAATAACAATTGGAAAAAGATTTCTCGTGAGATTTGTTTATTCAAATGTTATGCGTGATCAGAACTTGGTGATTTGATTCAAAGCGACATTTTGGTGTGGTTGTTGCACAGAGCAAGCCTTAAATTTATCCTTTGTAGTACCTACATACGTTCCTATTTGATAACGAAGTAGTATTCCTATGTTCAACAGCAACAGGAATCCCACAATGCTCCATGAGACACACAACATGGTTAAAGATGACGGTGAATTCGGCTTTGTCCATTGAACCAATGTCTCTTTTCGACTGTCATAATAACATGTGTAGGTTTTATTAACCTAAAATTGCGATAAGAATAGCATATTTTTATTTCTACTGACAAAATTCACGAAGAATTCAAAGGTATTGTTTATTCAATAAATCGTTTACAATCGATTGTAATCTATACAACTACAAACCTTTGCCAGTTATTAAACCCACTTTATATGTTTTTCTGCGAATAAATCGACACGTAGCTCGTTTTAATGACTTGAATATTTTACAACGTCATACTTCCCAGCACTTTTTCCTTTTTCTTTCTTCCGAAAAAATTTATTCTGATCGATGCAAGATAATTTCAATCTTTAATATTTCTCTTTTTTAATTGCTACTCAGTCAAAGGTTTTATTTTCATGCTAGTAAATATTGCATCATCAAATGTAGAAACTCTTATATTTTTGTTTTCGTTCGTTGACGTCAAAATAATATCGAAATAAAACGGAGAGTGCACGAGTATTCAAATACATTGTAGATTACTTTGCTTATCAGTCTGATACTATGGACGTCAATTGTTTTACAGTTTCAAGAAATACAACTGTTATTTGTGGAGAAGCAGCCTACATTGCATCATTCACTTCCGTAATTCAGTGGAATGAAAATTCACTACGTTTTTGCAGTAAAATGCTAGATAATTGTCTCAGGTTTATACTCAAGTAAACGCTCTCTAGTTTCCTAAATCACGACGATGATAATTTCTAGATAATGGTGAAATCTCTTTTTCTTTTGTTTTTATTGACAATATCTTTACTGAAAACTTGCAGCGATGAAGACAATGGTATACTTACCGAATCAATCCCTGGCCCATCTGGTAATTCGGTTGTGATTTTGATTTCTCTTCCATCTGATGTATTGTATACTACTGTGTAGTGCACTACATAGCACACATAATATTCCGTGGTACATCCATTATTGGTATGTTGATCAGAGCAATGTTCTTGAGAACAATCACTTTTAATAGTGGTGTAATTCAGCACGTAACATGTTGTTGATTTATAAACTAATTCATCGTGGCGCTCTCTTACATAATTTAATGCAGCGGCCGCACCGAAGAGTATCGATATCAGTATAACCACTGCCGATAGACATAAAAGAAAGAATTTGCAACAATTGAAAATTTTCGACAGCATAATTTATCAAATGAAATGCAACCACACTGTTTGCAGGTTTTATATATGAGTTTCTAATATGAGTAAGAGGGTGTGGGTGGGGTAGATGCTTAATTGACACCCACACCCACACCCGCCTTACAAGCTACTTGTTATTCACGCTGCTTATTACTTGAAATTGGAATGAATTATAATTGATGTCGAAAGAGAAAAGTAACAGAATGTATCGAGATGCTAAGAACAGTTTTTAAGAATTGGGGATCATCTATCGCCCGAAGTTCACGAAATAAAATAATTGCTGAAAGTAGAGTTTCTTTACTATGATGAATTAGTTGCCCAATATTTTTATTAAAATTTACGATAACCCTAATCCACTCTCCCCCGACGACTGCCCGGGGATTTGTCAGGGGACACCCTGAGGATTCTTCTGGGGAGAGTTGATTAGGGAATTCCTCAAACTGAACTATTGGCTATTGCCGAAAGTTAAGTGCGAAAGTCAGTACGGCAAAATTCGCGTTTCCCAACAATTCCGCTGGAATTAATTATAATGCTGCTTTTCTTGAGAACAATTGTTTCTAATGGAAAATCTATTGATAGTTGTTTAACAAAAACTAAACCAATGCATATTTTCTTTTCTTTTCTGTTCTAAATCAATATTTGAACTGAAGTATATGATTCACTCATGAATTACTGCCATCTGCTATTAAGTCGTGTCATATGTCGTTGTTCGTTCGAGAGCAATCATATAATTCATTCTCGAAAATTTCTTTGACTATATAATATCACTTTTTAAACTTTTTCATATTTAGATCAATCATAGTAAATACAAAAGTTGCATATAATTGATATATTTCACTTTCGAACTTTCTGGTTCTGAATATTGACAGAAAACAATGTGTTATAAATTGAGCATTTCCCGTTTACCAAAACAATATTTTCATTCATTTTGGCCTGAAAAAAAGGAGTCGATTGACCTCATATGACATAGAAATAGCTTATTTTCTTCAGCTGGCATTCCTCAATTTTGAAGTATCATTCATAAATGTTCGAATTATTCATCAAAACGCAAGTAAACACAACTTTACAAGATATTTACCACTGATGTTTCCCATAAGCATATTAGAACGGTAAAACGCCGTGCCTGACATCTTTATTCATTTCTTCTCTTCGTTATATTGTGAAGAAAACATGCAAGAAAATTTACAAAACCCTTTTTGTCTTTTTAGATTCTATTTCATAGAATACCCAGGTCGAGCATTCCGGCCACCGGATCCCGTAGGATACTTCAGGGAATATGCGGGAAAGTCACCATATCCTGCAGGAAAACACGCGAAATCGCTGGAAATTGGAAGCCGTATTCCGGCCAAAAAGATGGTCGGACTTTTCCGGAGAATTCCTGACGGTTAACCCTACTTTGGTCGAAAGTAAAAATGTCGAAAGATAAAAATTTCGACTGATAATGTTAAAAAATTTCATATTTTAGTTCTGTGCGTGTAAAAAGATTAAAATATTCTTTGTTTAAAAAGTTTTATTTATCGAAAAAACGTTCGGAGCAAAATTTTTGTTTAAAAATGCGGAATGATGCTCGATGATGACTATTCTTCAGCCGTAGATTGGGTTTCTATGTTTCTTTTTTGCTCCAACAACTAATGATA